GACATTTATGTGTTTTTCTTTACTATTATTATTATTTTTTTTTATTGTGTCTGTTATCACTTTATCTCAGCTCTCACTCAACCGATTTCTTTCAACATACGTTAAATGATCATAAATTATTTCTAGTCGAAGACATTCCTATCAAAAATTGAAAATTATTTCCACGTTCCACGTAAATAGGGGAAATCTCAAAAAAAAAAACAAATTTAAAAATCGCTATTATTTTTCACTTAAAACTACCATAACTTTTTTAAAAATGATCAAATCAATATAAATTTTTTTTTCATAGATTAATGAGGTATTTATCTATCAATTTGTATATATTTTTTATAAATTAGATCCTTTACCTGTCCATGAGGGAATTCAAAATTACAACATGTTCACGAAAAATTAACTTTTAAAACTTAACTTTTGAAAGTTTTTAGAGAATACAGACACTTATATATATATATATATATATATATCTTAAATTAAATTTTATGTAATATACTTTAATATGAAAAAAAAAATTTCGGACTTTATTTTGTTTTCATGGTGAAAACGGACATCAAAATTTAAAATTAAAAATACGATTTTTGTAAAAAGTTACAATATTAAATTATTAAATATCAAATTCAGACTATATTTAAATGCTATAATTAATATTTATTCATATATTACACTTATAAATCATAAAATTTATAATCAGAATATAAATAAGGAAATAGGAGATCATGTTGCTTTTGGAATAATCCACTAATTTTTTAATATTGAACACTATCCATAGATTTATATGGGAACGTTTTTTATGATAGTGATTTTAATCATTGTCAGATATCATTATACTTGACCCAACTATGCTACGTCCGCACTGTGCTGAGATTTTTTTTAAGGTTAAACATATCATCATTTTTATTGTCTTATATTTTAGTTTTTATTCTTAAAAAAAATTTACTTTATATTTCCTGTAGTTTTTAAAACTTTTTCTTGTTGAGAATATACATTTAATATTTTATTTCAATCTCTAGTTACTCATTGTTGAATGAGTAACTTATTAAATAATAATATCGAAAATATTATAAGAAAATCTACTCTACTTTACCATTAGAGAATATACAGGGTGTTCAGTAAGTCAGGAAACGGGTTTCTATTGTTCTCAATGTTTGTAACAATTAACCTGTTTTCTTACTTACTGAACACTCTATATATTATATATATATTCCTAATATTAGTTTAGCCAGAATATGTTTGAATGTTACCCACCTTTGATAAAACAAAGACATGTCTATTTTAATTGTAATCATTGTATTTGCTTTGCGTCCATGCATGTAAATTTATGAACACTAAACTTTATTTGTATAAATATATAATGTGTTACTCGAATTAACCGTGTAAAATGTTGATGTTCTTCTGAGATAATTTGTCGCATACCCCTTACGTTATGACTACTAGTTGTCTCTCATGTATACAATTACTCTTCGCAACATAGAATACCACTTAGATGGCAACAGAGAAGAGCTAAATGCACAAAGTGCCACTATTTGCTCGTTAGCATACTAGTCTCTTTACCTTTGTCAGTTACAAAGCGTGTGATTTATTTTGACTACATTTATTTTAGATAATAATTTTGAACGTTCAACTTATAATTGTATTGTGTACCTAGTGTGATTTATGAAGACTACTGCTACCAATTTTTGTTCAATAATGATTATTTTATAAAAATTAACAAAATAAAGCTTAATTTATTTTTACGAACTACAGTTAATTTTCGAAATTTGAATGAAAACTTATAATTATGTTTATATCATTCGATTGAGAATGGACTAATTGAAAGTTTTACTGTTCGACTAGTTTTGCAGTAATGTCTTTTGACTACTAAGCGTAGACAACATGAAGAACGGTAGTGTTTAGCAACGCATTATTTTTATATTAACACGCAGACTGTGTTATGTACTCACTTGTTCACATACAAATTGGATTAACTGAAAAAAATCGGGATAGTATTCTGAATATATCACACTATATATTACAATAATATACTGTTATATAATGCAGGAAAATGATTTTTTAGATATCAGAAAAAAAATGCGTCTTCGAAATTATTATACTAAATTTAACTCAAATTTAAGTATAAATAATTAAAAATTATAATTAATAATATACTTATAACGTGGCCTAGTTATTATAGAGAATATTTACTTGGACATAAATTTAAATTTAGTTTAATCGTTGGACAAAAATAAAATAATTAATAATATATTTTAGTGCTATTCCTTCATATTATAATTTAATAGAAATGGATAATCCACTCACTAATTGCTAAAATAGTCGTATAAACTATAATAATTACAATAGTATTTAAAGAAGATTTATTATGTAATAGATGAAAATTTTATTATTATGAACTTTTAGTTTTTTAAATTCAAGGATTATATTATCTATAATAACTAGGACACGTTATAAGAGTATTATTAATTATAATTTTTAATTATTTATACTTCAATTTGAGTTAAATTTAATATAAAAATTTCGGAGACACATTTTTTTTCTGATAAATTGTTTAGGGTTTTTTGGAAATCGTCCACTGATTAACTGAATTACAAAACAGCCGGTAGGTAATGATCATAATATTTGAAAAACAAAGAGAGAATTTTATTGTTTCCTCGGCCAAGACTTTGCTAATTATAAAATAATACCAGGGAGTAGCTTAATTTAACTAAATCCGGGTCAAATCTAACGATGGTAATTAAAGTCATATGGGGTTAGCAAAAAATAAAGTTATATACTTAGTTATAAACTAAAAAAATATTTTATCTTTGCTAAATATGTTAGTGGAAGTAAAAGATATCAAAAT